TAGTCGTGATACTCTAACTTTGAAAGAAGTTTATGATGCTTTGCATGCCAAAGAAAAGATGAAGAAGATGGTACCCTCTGAAGGTTCAAATTCACAAGCAGAAAGCTTGGTTGTCGGGGTAGGCAACAGGAGAAGAACACAAACAACAAATCAAGAGATAAAAGCTCAAGTAGCTACCGTGGGAGATCAAAGTCCAGAGGCAGGTATAAGTCATGCAAATACTGCAAGAGAGATGGACATGATATCTTCGAGTGTTGGAAGCTACAGGACAAAGACAAGAGAACCGGAAAATATATACCAAAAGGTAAGAAAGAAGAGGAAGGTAAAGCCGCAGTTGTTACTGATGAGAAGTCTGATGCAGAATTGCTTGTTGCTTATGTTGGTTGTGCACAAACTAGTGACCAGTGGATTCTTGATACTGCATGCACCTATCACATGTGCCCGAATAGGGATTGGTTTGCCACCTATGAAACTGTGCAAGGTGGTACTGTTTTGATGGGTGATGATACACCATGCGAGGTTGCAGGTATTGGAACAGTTCAGATCAAGATGTTTGATGGTTGTATCAGAACATTGTCAGATGTGCGGCATATTCCAAATTTGAAGAGAAGTCTCATCTCTTTTTGTACTCTTGATCGCAAAGGGTACAAATATTCCGGTGGAGACGGAATTTTGAAGGTAACTAAAGGCTCTCTTGTTGTGATGAAAGCTGATATTAAATCTGCCAACCTGTACCATCTGCGAGGTACAACTATATTAGGTAATGTTGCTGCAGTTTCTGATTCATTATCTAATTCCGATGCTACTAATCTTTGGCATATGCGTCTTGGGCATATGAGTGAAATTGGTTTGGCAGAATTGAGCAAGCGAGGATTGCTATATGGACAAAGCATCGGGAAGCTCAAATTTTGTGAGCATTGCATCTTTGGCAAGCATAAGAGGGTGAAGTTCAACACATCTACACATACCACTGAAGGTATTCTTGATTATGTGCATTCTGATTTATGGGGGCCTGCTCGTAAGACATCCTTTGGAGGTGCTCGTTACATAATGACTATCGTTGATGATTATTCGCGAAAAGTTTGGCCTTATTTCTTGAAGCACAAATATCAAGCTTTTGATGTGTTTAAAGAGTGGAAAACTATGGTTGAAAGACAAACTGAAAGAAAGGTGAAAATCCTTCGTACTGACAATGGGATGGAGTTCTGTTCTAAGATATTTAAATCATATTGCAAGTCTGAAGGCATTGTGCGTCACTACACCATTCCTCACACACCTCAACAAAACGGCGTAGCTGAGCGTATGAACAGGACAATTATATCAAAGGCCCGTTGTATGTTGTCTAATGCAGGTTTGCCTAAACAGTTTTGGGCGGAAGCTGTTTCCACTGCTTGTTATCTTATCAATCGATCACCCAGTTATGCCATTGATAAGAAGACTCCAATTGAGGTATGGTCTGGTTCCCCAGTAAATTATTCAGACTTAAGAGTATTTGGTTGTACTGCTTATGCTCCTGTTGATAATGGTAAATTGGAGCCTAGAGCTATTAAGTGCATTTTTCTTGGTTATCCGTCTAGTGTGAAAGGCTATAAGTTATGGTGTCCTGAAACCAAAAAGGTTGTGATTAGTAGAAATGTTGTCTTCCATGAATAAGTTATGTTACATGACAAACCTTCTACTAATGTTCCTGTTGAGAGTCAGGAGAAAGCAAGTGTGCAGGTGGAGCACTTGATCAGTTTAGGGCATGCACCAGAAAAAGAAGATGTTGCTATTAACCAAGATGCACCTGTTATTGAATATTCAGATTCTTCTACTGTTCAGCAGTCTCCAAAATGTTCTATTGCAAAAGATAAGCCCAAAAGAAATATTAAACCTCCTCGAAGATATATTGAAGAAGCGAACATAGTTGCTTATGCTTTGAGTGTGACAGAAGAAATTGAAGGTAATGCCGAACCTTCTACATATTCTGAGGCTATTGTTTCTGATGATTGCAATAGATGGATAACTGCTATGCATGATGAGATGGAGTCACTTGAAAAGAATCATACTTGGGAATTGGTGAAGTTGCCAAAGGAGAAGAAACCTATCCGTTGCAAGTAGATCTTCAAAAGAAAGGAAGGTATGTCTCCAAGTGATGAGGCAAGGTACAAAGCAAGGTTAGTTGCTAAAGGTTATAGCCAGATTCCAGGTATTGATTTCAATGATGTCTTTTCCCCTATTGTGAAGCATAGTTCAATTCGCACTTTACTTAGTATTGTTGCAATGCATGATGATGAACTAGAGCAAATGGATGTTAAGACTGCATTTTTACATGGGGAGTTAGGAGAGGACATTAATATGGAGCAACCTGAAGGTTTTTTTGTTCCTGGAAAAGAGAACCTAGTCTGTAGGTTGAAGAAATCTCTTTATGGGTTGAAGCAGTCACCCAGACAGTGGTATAAGAGATTTGACTCTTTCATGCTTTCTCAGAAGTTTAGAAGATCCAATTATGATAGCTGTGTTTATCTTAAAGTTGTTGATGGTTCAGCTATATATTTGCTTCTTTATGTCGATGATATGTTGATTGCTGCAAAAGATAAATCAGAGATAGAAAAGTTGAAGGCACAATTGAGTAGTGAATTTGAGATGAAGGATTTGGGTGCAGCGAAGAAAATTCTCGGTATGGAAATTACTAGAGAAAGACATTCTGGCAAGTTATATCTTAGTCAGAAAGGTTATATTGAAAAAGTTCATCATCGTTTCAATATGCATGATGCAAAACCAGTGAGTACTCCTTTAGCTGCACATTTCAGATTATCTTCAGATTTATGTCCACAGTCAGATTATGATATTGAGTACATGTTTAGAGTTCCTTATTCAAGTTCAGTTGGTTCACTTATGTATGCCATGGTATGTTCTCGTCCTGACTTATCACATGCATTAAGTGTTGTCAGTAGATACATGGCTAATCCTGGCAAAGAGCATTGGAAAGCTGTTCAATGGATTTTCAGATACCTACGTGGTACATCTAGTACTTGTTTGCAGTTTGGGAGATCTAGAGATGGACTTGTTGGTTATGTGGATTCAGATTTTGCTGGAGATTTGGATAGGAGAAAATCGCTCACAGGTTATGTTTTCACTATTGGAGGATGTGCTATTAGTTGGAAGGCAAGTTTGCAAGCAACGTTTGCCTTATCTACTACTGAAGCAGAGTAATGGCTATTTCTGAAGCTTGTAAAGAAGCTATTTGGCTTAGAGGTTTGTACACTGAGCTTTGTGGAGTTACGTCTTGCATTAATAGATTTTGTTCCATGAGAGAACAAAGCACATTGATGTGAGATATCACTTTATTCGATGTGTGATTGCTGAAGGTGATGTCAAAGTATGCAAGATAAGTACTCATGATAACCCAGCTGATATGATGACAAAGCCAGTTCCTGCTACTAAGTTTGAGCTTTGCTCAAGCTTGGTGGGTGTTACAGTATAGTCCTAGAGACTATTTGGCGCGCGGTGATTTTACCTACATGAGGTATTTTTTGGTGATTGATGTTTTTATGCAACAAGAGGAAATTCGTCTCAAGGTGGAGATTGTTAAATATGTGATCCGAATTTTGGGCCCACAATATATTCGGATTAGTTTCCTAGTATGAGTCCTATTAGGTGTCTTTCTATTATCCCTTATATATACTCTTGTAAGCCGTACGGGAAGGAGTGACGTTTCCATTGTGATTCCCCTACGTTTGTAATCATCTCCTCTATAGTGATCATTGCCGGTCGGCGTCCGTGGTTTTTTCCCGCAAGGGTTTTCCACGTAAAATTTATGTCTCCGTTGTGCATCTATTTTCATAACAGCTTCTTCCTGCATGTGCAATGTGTTACTAACAAAAAAGTTCAGCTTCTCTAATTCGAGTTGGTGATTTTATTACAGTGTAAATCATGGTGTACATGAAAGATATAAGTATGTCTCCAGCCTGACATTGTATGAACTTGGGTAAATGCATGCTGATGTGAGCGTTTTCTGGTTATCTGAATCGCAATCAAATGGCATAGATAGATACTGAACATGGTTACATGGAAAAATGATGCTTACATTGCCTCCAGATAGCTTCACTCAGATCAAGCAGAAACGCTTTGCATTCTCTGCAACGATGCTATCAAGTAATGACTCGCATGCGTTTTCCAGCAGATCCAGCACCAGAAAAACATTGTGCAACGATAGCTGTCCCCTCCCTCCCCGCCGCCTGCCTTCTCTTTCCCCACCGCCGCCGCTGCCCTCTCGCGCGCCGGCCGCCGCCTGCCTTCTCTTTCCCCGTCGCCGCCTGCACTATGACGCCCGGGCGACGGACTGGTTGGTGGGGATGGCGGCGAGGGACGGCACGGCGCTGAAGCCGGTGCTGAGCGGGTTGTCGATGAAGCCGGTGCCGAGCGGTGAGCGACTCCGAGAGGCGCGCGCCACCGCCGAGCGCGCCCTCGCCGCCGCCGAGCGCGGAGGGCGACGACCCCGCGGCGGTCGACGTCAACCTCGTCCTTGCCTTCCTCGCCGCCCGAGACGGGGACTTAAACGACGTGAGACGGCCTCGCCTCCGCCTCCGCGCCCAACACCACGGCGCCCGCCCGCGCGGGGCCGCTTCGCCAATGGCGGCGACGCAGCGTCACCGACGCCATTCGCGACCGGCTGCCGCCGCCGCCTCGCCCGGTGGCTTGCTCCTCAGCCGCCCGCCGGCTTGCCCAAAGAAGTGAAGAGAAAAGAAGAGAGAGAGAGAGAGGGAGAAGGGAAAGGAGGGGAAAGAGGGGGAGGCTTACGTGGCCAGGCTGGCATGTGGAGCCCGTGTGGGTCCCACGCTGACTCAGCCGCCACGTAGGCCAAAACCGGGGTCAAAACCACCGAAGGATCCATTATGACCGGTTTTGATTAGTTAAGGGACTCCGAATATCTGGTTTTGTGATTAGGGGACGTTTTTTAACTCGGTGACAAGTTGAGGGACCTTCGGTGTACTTTTTCCGCAAATATAATGCTCCAACTTGATGACTAATAACACACTAGCACCAGCAGCTAGTTGCTTATTTATAGTAGTATTTCATACACGGAAAAAATTTTAAGCATTAGTAAATATCAATTGTTGGATCGATGAATATGGAATAATAACAACCATTATTTATGAACGCTAATTGCTAGCTAGATTCATCATTGTCATCACAGCCTAGCTACTGGCTAATTCAGATATTCCATCGTCCTCTTCTGAAATTGCAGTAAGCTCGGAGGAGTGAAAGTAAGAATCCATGACTTGTGGAGGTGGCATGCCATTGCCAATGCCATCCCCATCGCAGAAAAATGGTCTCGGAGGCACTTGCAGCGCATCCACACCCCCTTCGAGCATCTCTATTGCCTCGCTCATCGTCAGGCGATCGTGTGATTTCATCTGAATGCACCACAGCCCAACAAGGCATAGCTTCCTCTCCAGCTCATGCATGTCAGCAACATTGGATATCTCATCAACTTGTTGATCTGCTATCAGCTGGTCATACACCCATGCTGGGTAGTATGCCCTGCTTGCATTTGAGTTTGCATTTGGATCTGCATTCCTTCTACCTCCAGCCATCTCAAGCAACAACATTCCAAAGCTATAAACATCGGATTTGTCAGATATAACGCCAAAGCTCCGGGATACCATCTCAGGAGCCATATAACCTACTGTTCCCCGTAAAGCCCTATCTGACACAAAGCTCTTCTCCCTTGGGTACAGTTTTGCGAGGCCGAAATCAGCAACCTTTGGAACAAAGTTATCATCAAGAAGGATGTTGTCTGGCTTGATATCAAAGTGTAGAATCTGCATCTCGCACCCCTGATGCAGGTAGTTGATCCCTCTAGCAATGCCCAGAGCAATCTCATTGAGCTTGTCCCAAGAGAAGCTTCTCTCGGATGAGAAGATATACTTGTTTAGAGATCCTCTAGGCATGTATTCGTAAACCAAGGCCCTTCTCATTTCTTCGGAGCAGAACCCCACAAGACGCACCACGTTGATGTGATGGATCCTGCCTATGGTGGCAACTTCACTAATGAAGTCTTCTCCATTGCAATTGGAGTTGCCATCCAACATCTTGATGGCGACATGAACATCACCCGGGAGAAACACACCCTTGTACACAGACCCATATCCTCCTTGGCCCAGCTTGTCTCTGAAATGGCTTGTGATTGCTATGATGTCCGTGTAGGCGTACCTCTTGGGGCCTAGCATATCTTGCATCCGAAGGAACTTTTCGACTGCATCAATTGCAATCCTTGTTTTCCAGTACTTGCGAGTAAGAAAAATCATCACGACCAACGGTGCGAACACAAACCTGCATAGCACTGAATACGAAAAGGCTAATGAATTTTGCAATGCAATATGTGGTGTGACCAGCTCTGATACTGTATACTGTAGAATTGAGTGGAACAAAAATGCAAAAGTTAATTACCAGCAATCCACTTGACAAGACACAAGGTGTATATTATGAAGAGCTTATGGTAAAGAGAATGATCAACGCCGCGGATCATGTCGCTGATGGAAAGACGCATGTCGAGGTAATACCGTCTGGATATGCCTATCATGCATCCCCAGAAACGGAGGTCAATAGAAAGGATGTCAATGATCCGGTCTTTGATGCCTACTCTGGGTAATGGATTGTCATGGCTATCAGCTAAGCTGCAAGATCATTTATTGGAAAGAGTTAATTAAACGGGATTGGAGGAGAAGAGCTAAACAAAATCGGCCCTTTTCAGATGATAAAGTAAAGGTTTCGAGATTATAAGGAATTAAGGCGCTCACCTAACAGACTCGTTGAGGCAATCTTTGATGAGACCATACCAAGTAGTCCAAGGTCCTCCATATGTAGGAAATTTGACGGCAAATCCACCCCTCATGGATTTTACAACATCTTCATATTCGGACAGATTAATGCTGTTACCGTTACTGCCACCGCCGATAGGAGTCATGGCCAAGTATCCACAAGAAGGTTCGATGTCTTGGATAGATGGTGCTCCAAACGATGGGAGCATATAATAAACGTAGGACGAAGTCGTGGTCAGGCAATTCATGGGCTGGTATTTGCTACTACTGTTCGTAATTAGTTCCTGCGAACAATTGACAAAGCCGACCCAAGTAATCATATCATCAAGGCCCAAGTCCCAGCTGTCGTGTGATCCTGGGATACCCAGACCAACGTAAGGCAGCTGGTCCGAGCGAGGAAGAGGGCAGCTGCTGTTTGCATCATCCTGCAGGTTGGCGTCGACGACCCAAAAGATGGAAGCAGTGTAGTCGATGCTACTCACATAGTATTTCCCTGTGTTGATCCGAATGGTGGCCTTGCCATCATCGCTGCTGCAGTCTAGCTCGTACGACGAGACGCCGCACCTGCGAGGGTCGCCTCGCCGGCGAAAAGGATGAGTTATGTTTGAGAGATGGCCGCAGGAGAAAGGTTGGCACTGACGATGCCGTCGTCCTTGGACATGGACGACGTGATGATCTGCATCCGCTACCACAAGTGCGAGCACACACAGGACGGTCGACAAAGCAGCTGCTTCCATTCTAGTGTAGGCTACCAAGCTAGCTACTTGTTGCTCGCTCGGCCGGCTCCTACTTATAAGTAGTACGACGTACGCGCTACCAAGAAGGGGAAAACAGAAAATTGAGTATACGTCTTAGCCATTAACGCATAATTAATTAGATATTAATTATTTTAAATTAAAAAAATAGATTAACGTGGCTTTTAAATAACAATATTGTATATATATTGTTTTCAAAAAAATTACAACGGTTAATAGTGCGGAAAACATGCGCATGAAAAACAAGTAATTTTTTCAATCTTTCAGCTCGGCCGAACCTTTAAAGTTCGAATTTATATTAGGTCGATCTTATGCTATAGGTTGTGTCCATTACATATTTCTTATTTATATTAAGTCGACCTTATGCGACCATCGAACTCGTTCGTCGATCAAAGAAAAGGCAGTGAAAGCCAAAGCCAAAGTACAGATCAAGTGGCCAAAGCCAAAACTCTCGGCTCACAGTGCTAAAAGCAGTAACTAAACAGGCTACTCGGTAGTAGAATATACTACCCTTTTTATTTTTTTAATGATATTGTTGATTTTTTATAATGTTTGATTATTTGTTTTATTAAAAAATTTATTACAAATATGTAAAAGTATAAGTTAAGATTATAATTTCTTCGATAATAAAAGCAAGTCATAAAAAATATATTTATATTTTTAGTAAAATGGATGGACGAGCGGCGTCTGCTGTCTTAAAAAATGAACATACTTGCGTGTTGCGAACTTTTGACTGTAGTACTGTACGACAACAAAGCTCGCGCGCGTGAATTAGCATTTCTGCGTGCGCCAGGCCTAATTTCCACACGGGAATTAAACTTTACTGGCCGGTTTCTTCAATTCTTCATATGTTAATCTCTCATGAGATTGGACATGAGTGGACTGGAGCAAGTCTACGATGTTCAAGGTCAGTCCTAGGCCGGCATGATTTTCCAAAGCACCCCCTCCGTTTCATAGCTTTTAACTTTTTTTACCTGTCAAGCTCTTTCATAGCTTTACCTTTTTTTTTTACTAGTCAAACTCTAATCAAATTTATAGAAAAATACGACAATATTTTTAATACAAAACAAACATATTATCAAAATGTATTAAATATTAGTTGTAATGAAACTAATTTGGTCTTTTAGAATTTATATGTTGCTAAATTTTTTTATAAATTTAATCAAACTTAAAAATGTTTAATTAGGAAAAAGTCAAAGTGACTTGTAATATGAAAAACGACTTATATAGCACGAAACAGGAAGAACATACAGCGCATTGTTGCTTACAATGAAGCACACAGTTACACTATCCTGAGCCCACATATATATATCCGCCTTCACTTTATGTACATATATGGAGTACCTACAGACTACAGTTATCAAACCAATTGCTTTTGCACCTATAGAGTCAGAGATCAGGATGAGTAGCAAATTTCTCGCCATGTATCTCCTGCTTGCTCTCCTCAGCCATGGCACCTACAGCTACAGTGCCACCACAGCTTCAGGCTGGGAAGACCAAGACTTCTTCAGGCATTGCCCAGTGTCCCGGTGCAGCGACGGTGGACCAGAGATCCGGTTCCCTCACGGCCTGCAATCCAGCAACACATCATCAGCATGCGGCGCTTCATGCGCCAAGCTAGCATGCTCCGGCCAAGACACCATCCTACATCACCCATTTCTGGGGCCTTGCAAGGTCACCTCCATAGATTACAAGGAGGCCATCATGAGCATCATCCCGCTTGTGTACTCCTCGTCTCCATGCCCGCTTCAGAAGCTCATCTTTGACAATCTACAGCCTTACGACTACCATAGATGTAAATTATACAGCTGGGCTCCTGCAAAAATAGTACGCTGTTCAAAAGAGTTCACACCAAATGGTACTTCTCCAGTCGATGGCTACGCTTTCATGAACAACGCCGATTATATCACCGGCCCAATCTCCTGCCCCAGTGAGGCAAGTCACTTCTCATATTTGGTGGATGCTCGGCTATGCATGTATGTGCTTCCCTTGGACTGCAGGATCGTCTCCAGAGGCTCCATTCCAATACCCGGTCCAGCCTACTCTGATATCGGTGGCCCAACATTCAAGGAAAGAGCAGAAAAATTCATCAACTTTGCTGAGACGACTGTCAGTTGGTATTCTGATGACGAAGTTACCATTAACTGCACAGAGTGCGAACGTCAAAAGCACCGCTGCGCATTCAGCTCACAAAGGAATCGAACATTCTGCATGAGCCGCGAGCATCACGGTACCATTGCTAACTTCTCAAAATCCAATCCTATCACCCTAGTTTTATTTCCTGAACTACTTTTCTATTTTCCACTCCCTCCGTCCCATAATATAGCAATCTAGTACCGGACGAGACACTTCATAGTACAACAAATCCGAACCTGCTTACTGTTTAGATTCATTGTACTATGAAGTGTCACATCTGGTCCTAGGTTGCTATATTATGAAATGGAGGGAGTAGCTATTATGATTTAGCCATACAGTACTAGAGTGCTGCTCTCGCATCATTAATCTTACATGAGATATACTGCAAAATTATTTTTGCAGGCCAGTAGTCTGCTCCTAGCAACCATCTAGGAAGCTTACTAGCTAGCTTTCTCGCACATTAAGTCATTATTCCTTCCATACAATTCCAATAAAAATGTCCCAATACTTAGTGAAATGAAGATAGAACTATATTTGTTCGACGGGCATCAGTAGGATAATTTGATATTTGATAATAAAATCTGGAACTTCTCAGAGATATTTTCAGGTATACAGGACACTAGAGCATTGTTACAAAAAGGACCAGAAAGCAAATGATGAAATAAAATTGGCCAAAAGTTTCATGAGAAGTACGGTGATATAATGTTACACACAAAAGATTGCACACATAATAACTGTCTGAGTCTTTTGCACCAATTAATAAATAGCCAGCTTTTTATTTTTAAACAAGCATAACCAGCCAGTTTTTATATGTAACAATCTCATATACTGTTAAGATTTTTCACGATATTTACCCAAGAAACACAATTTGGATAACATAGAGAAGAAAAATCCTCCATCAACATATTTAGCTCAGCATCGTCACAAATAACAAAAAGGAAAAATTAAAGAACTTCGAGTTGCTAGAGTTGGTAAACGGACCAGTACACATGCTAGTTCATACGCACTTGATACAATCCTTAAGAATATTTTCTGAGGAATAAACACAAACTAAAACAGAAAAGATTACCTACCAACAGTATCAAGTGACTCATGAGGCCATAGAAGTAAACACGTCAGACCATATTATACTTCAGTCGCTGAGTCCATAGGAATCACATTCCCTTCTGGCATTACTGACTTGTCAGATTTTGTGGCTGCATTTTCGATACTGTCCTGGTTCATCCTGGAACTGCAGGAGAGCCAGTTGACAACCAATCCTGGAAAAAAAAAAGAGAAAATGATTGAATATCGATGTCACTCTGGCTCATTCTGGAGCTGATTTTGCTAATACACTGAGGTAATGTGCTCCTGGAAAAATGAAATAGTTTGATGGACCCATATGAACTATGAAACCATGCAAGACAAAACAAAACACCCAGGAGTAACCAAGGTGGCGTCTGGCTGCCTCTAGAATTACAAAGTAGCTCGAAAGTGTAAATAATTGAGACTGCGAGGGAGCACTTGACTGAGAAAGATATAACCTGAGTATTGCTTTTGTTAACTGATACAACAGGAGCTGCAGCTAGATCTGTGGTTGCTTCAATGAATGATCAGTAGATACAAGAGTTGATATGTGGAACCCTTGATAAGTTAACCCGCAATCAACCTCAACTCGCTCTAACATCCTTATCTGGCATTCTAGCATAATGACAAAATTATCAGAGCTAGTATGCAGAACTGGCTTATGATGATACTGCTAACTAAGATGTAAGGAAAAATTCACTATTGCAAACATATTCATATAACCATAGACTCATAGTGCAGTTGTTCCTTTAAAACTAAAACTCTATCCTATCCCACTAGGGCCATGTTCTGTTGACATGTTGTGTAACTAATTAACTATGCTGGATCTCATTGTTTTTTCAAGAAGTACTTGTTCATTATCAGTTAAACCATCAATCAAATCTTATTATCTTTTTTGGTACTTGCAGGTTCGAGTGTCAAAGTCATTTCAGGTACTGCTATAATTCAAACCTACCCTCTATTCATTATTCAAAAGAGAGAAGAAGCACTGTTATAACTTATCAGCAATAAAAAGTTCTTATTGCTGGCGCTTCTGACTCAATATTTTGCTAAAAAGGACACTACCTTGCCTTACCCATCAGGCAACTACAATCAGTTGATCACTAGTCCATAGCTTTCTATCCTATTGCAATGCGCTGATTTCCCATTCTCTGTTTATTCAGCTACATCATCGGCAGCTGCATTTGTTGTTCTTTCATTGATCATAGCCACTGTGCTCTATATTTCGCTGAAGTCAAGGTATGACGAGGAGGTACATTTGAAGGTTGAAATGTTCCTCAGGACATACGGCACATCGAAACCCACAAGGTACAATTTCTCTGATGTTAAGAAGATAGCAAGACGCTTCAAGGAACAATTAGGTCAGGGTGGATTTGGAAGTGTCTACAAAGGAGAACTACCAAACGGAGTGCCCGTGGCAGTTAAAATGATAGAACACACTACAGGAAATGGAGAAGAATTCATCAATGAAGTAGCAACCATTGGACAAATTCATCATATAAACATTGTCCGCCTTCTGGGCTTCTGCTCTGATGGAACAAGACACATTCTTATCTACGAATTCATGCCTAATGAATCATTGGAGAAATATATATTCTTGCATGACCCAAATACTTCTCAAGAACTCCTAGCAGCAAACAAGATGTTAGATATTGCCTTAGGCATTGCCCGAGGAATGGAGTACCTGCATCAAGGATGCAACCAGCGCATCCTCCATTTTGATATCAAGCCTCATAATATCTTGCTGGACTATAACTTCAATCCGAAGATTTCAGACTTTGGTCTTGCAAAGCTGTGTGCAAGGGACCAAAGCATTGTTACCTTGACCAAAGCAAGAGGCACAATGGGCTACATTGCACCAGAGTTATATTCTAGGAACTTTGGGGAGATATCTTACAAGTCAGATGTATACAGTTTTGGCATGCTCGTGTTAGAAATGGTTAGTGGAAGGAGGAACTCAGACCCGAGTATTCAGAACCAAAATGAGGTCTACTTTCCAGAATGGATCTATGAGAAAGTAATTACTGGGCAGGACTTTGTACTTAGTAGGGAAATGACTGAAGAAGATAGACTGAAGGTTAGACAGATGGCCCTAGTGGCATTGTGGTGCATTCAGTGGAACCCAAGAAACCGTCCCTCGATGACGAAGGTTGTAAACATGCTAACTGGAAGGTTGCAGAATATAGAGGTGCCCCCTAAGCCATTTGTTTCATATGAAAGCCATGCTGTGCCATAAATCATAGTAATGTTATGGGAGTTATACACTTATACTTAGTTGACGTGTTGCATAGTAATGTCTAGAAATTGCATAATATGCACCTTGACTGCACATTGATAACTGTATGAATTATGAATCGTGGCTCTTTACCATGTAATGTAATACAAGTAATAAGAAACACATCAGTTGATGTGATTACCGTGTTCAGTTGTTGCTATGATATATCTCCATCAAACCATGGTGTGCAGAGTACTCCTGGCTGCACTATTTCAGTAATTCATGGGTCCGTAGCTAGTGGCTTGCAAGAAAATCCTGAAAGGAAATTGAATTATGGCAATTTTTCCCAGGCAGCACAAATATAAAATATCGAAGCAAAGAGTATTATTTTTGTCTGTTTGTCCGTGCGAACGGCCGACTAGGGTAACATTCATACCCTGAATTCGTCACTGAATAAAGAAGTAGATTCATATCCTAAATTCCTCACTGAACTAAGAAGTATAATAAGTAAAGTTGGCTTGGTCACATTCCTATCCATCCCATTCAAAAAGTCAGGGCCCGCCTATCTATCTGATGGAAATCTCAAGCAAACAGGATGCTGCTGGGCAAGCAATCGAGGAGCTACGAATTTGCAATGTGAAGAGATGAATGGGCATGGACTCGACTAGTGAATAAGTACACTTTAATAAAACTTAGCAAAAATAATCAAAAGCAGAGGAAACGGGCTACCTTTATCAATGCAAGGAGGGGGCAGCGAACTGAACAACCACCGGATCAGGAGATCTCCCCGAGTTCTGTCAATCCTGCGGCTCGGCATGGCATCTCGCTTGGGGCCTGGATTTGCGGCTCGGGTCTCACAAGGACGCAGGGAGAACTGAAGGCGACGCATAGACCGGGCAACGCGCGTTGACGGCGCAGTGCTAAGAAGAGACATCGCCGGGGAAGCAGAGGCGGCCGGGAGTCGGTGGGATCGCCGGCGACGGCGAAGGGTTCGTGGCAAGAGAGGGAGGAAAGGGGATTCCGTACGGTTTGCAACCAGAAACTAAGCTCGGCCTAGGGCTAGTAATGGGGCCGGCCCTAAAGCTCCTGCCGCTAATGGGCCTTTATTTGCATTTGGACCAAAAAAGACCTGCGGGAGGCCTGTCTTCTTTCTGCTCGTGGAAATTTTTATAACTGTAAATCGACCATTTTTATAACTTATAGATTTTGTGGTTTTTTCACGGAATTTTATTTTATAGCATTTACTTTTGAATTACTAAGAACCCGTATTTAAAATTTTTATCTACAATTTTTTTAATTGCTAATAAGTCGTACAAATAAGCATATAGATAAGCAAAATATGAATCGGAACCGGGAATTGCTAGATTTCAGTCACGTAGGAAAGAACATAGCAACAGTGCCGACCAACACAGAACACTAGCTTAGCTCGATTTTTGCATGCATTCATACAGATGAAGCACAAGATAATAAATCGTACAAGCCCACATATACGCATTCTACAGGAATATAGGAATAGGAGCATAGAAACTGCATCTGTGTGACTGTCTACAATCATCACAGGCTTGAGCACAACCTGCTCACGAAAAGACATCAACACACCATACTTGCTAGTACTAGCTAATTCAACTCAGTGATACTCTCGTCTTCCTCCTCGGAGATTGCAGCCAGCTCCACCTCGGAGGACAGATACAGCGACTCCATTGCCGGGATGTAGTCATCGTCACAGAAGAATGGCCTAGGAGGAATTTGCAAACAATCAACACCACCTTCAAGCATCTCTATCACCTCGCTCATCATCGGTCGGTCACAAGACCTCATCTGGATGCACCACAATCCAACGATGCAGAGCTTCTTCTCCAACTCATGCATGTCGGCGGCAGCGGTGATCTCACCTGTTTCTTGTCGGGTCAGCTGACGGTACACTCGTGATGGATAGTATGCCTGGCTTGAATTCTCCGCATTCGGATCAGCATTCCTTCTTCCTCCGGCCATCTCCAATAGTAGCATCCCGAAGCTGTAAACATCGGACTTGCTTGATATGGCACCAAAACCCCGAGAGATCATCTCAGGAGCTATGTATCCCACTGTTCCTCGTGCTGCGCTCACTGGGACAAAACTCTTGTCCCTTGGGTACAGCTTTGCAAGGCCAAAATCGGCAACTTTTGGGACAAAGTTGTTGTCAAGAAGGATGTTGTGCGGTTTGATGTCAAAGTGTAGAATTTGCATATCACACCCATGATGCAGGTAGTTGATCCCTCTGGCAATGCCCAATGCAATTTCATTTAGCTTATCCCAGGAGAAACTCTTTTCAGACGAGAAGATGTACTTGTCAAGAGAACCCTGAGGCATATACTCGTACACAAGCGCTCTTCTTATTTCTTCAGAGCAGAACCCGACGAGTCGCACCACATTGACATGGTGGATCCTACCAATGGTGGAGACCTCGCTGATGAACTCTTCCCCTTTGCAATTTGCGTCACCCTTCAGCATCTTAATGGCAACTCGGACATCACCAGGGAGTAGCACACCTTTGTAGACGGAGCCATATCCTCCTTGGCCAAGCTTGTCTCTGTAATGACTTGTGATGGCAATAATGTCGGTGTAGGAGTATCTCGTTGGGGTCAGCATTTGTTGCAATTGCAGAAACTTCTCTACTTCATCAACTCTCATCTTTATTTTCCAGTACATGTAGGCAACGGAGGTCCACATCAGCAGCATCACCAGGACGAACCTGCATGCTACACCATAAACATGTTCATCCCTGCTGTAGAGACCAAGTGTATGAACAAATAGAGCATGACGAGACTACAATACAGCGAAAAAGGAAAATGTAACTGAAATTTGATATGTGTGATTGTCACGTACCAGAAATGACCCTTAAAATCCAGAAAGTTTGTGGCACTAACATCAGGAGCACAACAAAAGGGTGTGGAAGTTGAGTTGCATGGCGGCCGCATATCGAGAAGTAAGAATTGATATTAGTAACAATGACGAAGATCCGATATACTGTCGGTTCTCCATTACTGTCGCTGCAAGACCACGATGTCATGCATGAGCCATTGTACAGCAAAGCAAATTTCCAAGATAATGTTATTTGGCATTGGTAAATTTCACTATCAAGAATGTACAAGGAAGACGGGCCAAAGTGTTCAGTTTTAAGTCCCAAATAAATTGACTCACCTGATCAAGCCCCTTAGGCAGTCGATGAATCCCCCAGACCTGAAAGGAAAACGAACAGCGAATCCTTCACTCATGGATCTGACAACATCTTCATAATTTACATCCTCCAGTGTCGCAGCCGCAGTAGCAGTTCGCCAATTCTCTAGACCACCCAGAGCTAAAGGAGTCATTGCCAGGTATCCACAGGAAGGCTCAAGGTTCTCAGCTAAATAAGATCCCAGACCAGTTAGCACATAGACGAAAGAAGAGTTGCCGCTCCGGCAAGCCACAGGCCTGTACATGACATTGCTGCTATTCATTTCCTGCGAGCATTTCACAAAGGTAGCGAACCAATCCACATCAGGGGACAACTGGACTTGGACACGGCGGTGTGAATCTTCTCCAAGCCTGTAGTTTTCATTATAAGGAGTCTGACTCCACCGAGGAAGAGGGCAGTTGTTAGCTGAATCCAAGCTTGCATCGACCACCCAGAAGTACTGATCACTGTAGTTGATGTCAGTTACCAAGTATGTTGCCTTGTCGATCTGAATTGTAGCATTGCTGTCTGCACAAGTCAGCTCATATGATGGAACACCACATTCAGCGGGGTCGCCTTGACGACGGAATGGGAAATGCACATAGCTAAGACGTCCGCAGGAGAAAGATGGGCACTTGCCTCTCCCCTGAACCTGATCTGGTACAACAAGTGCAAGCACAGAGAAGGCAGCCATGGCCTGCAGGGCAGCAGAACGACGAAACGCACCAGCCATCGCTACGGTAGCTAGCTTCACAGGCAGTGCAAACAAGCCTATTACAATAGAGAGGGGCCTGCTGTCCAAGCTAGCTAGCTATATGCTTAGCCCACATGTCAGTGACTTTCAATATAGGGATAATACAGCAGAGGATCTCAATTGCAAATGGACACGGGTGGGTAACAATTACATGGCTGAGAGCAGATGACAGTGATGGCATTGACTGACTTGGGGAAGGAAACAATCGAGCCTGGATGTGACAAAAGAGAGCATGTCTCCAGCCTCAATCCATTAGAGCATCAGTATCAGTAAAGCAGTGAAAACTATGGGATTCAATTCATGTGGTCTGGTAAATTTGGAGAGAGCAAATAAAACTGGAGTACCTCATCTGGAATTCCAGAGTGAAGACGAGATGCACATTTGGACTGAAGCTGGTCCGTCCCATCATCTGTCACAAAATAATTAGGAAGATCAGTGTGCAGAATAAGGCTTTCGGAGAACTCTTTTACAATTGGATATGGATTGGAGTAAACTATCTATGAAGAACTTCACAATATCTTTACTACACAGGGCTGTGCTGCAGAGGGTCATTTACAATAGCTTCTAGCCACTGCCAGCAAATTCACAGTTTAAGTTTAACACTAACAACAGTTCACCGTTGCATGGAAGTGCGGCTTCATTTTCTGATGACGCCAGGAATGCAGTCACACTAAAAAGGACTGCAACATGGGACCACAGAAGTTTCATTGTACTTTGGGATTGCTCCAAAAGTACGCTGCTATCATGAGTTCATGACAAGCACAGCATAAACTCCCAGTAAATTTCATTATAGTTACATTCATGGCCTTCTCCTTGTGCCTTCAATCTTCAACAGCACTACAGAAACATGGCTAAACTTCTTGTTGTTGTGCTGCTACTATCTCTTCTCATCTATGCGGCCACAGCATGGGATGCCGAGAGCTTCTTCAACTTCAAGAGTTGTCCACCAAATCAGTGCAGCAAACATGGACCAAAAGTCCGGTTCCCACTCCGCCTTGCATCACAATCTCCGTCGTGCGGCACACCTCTCATGGAGTTATCATGTTCTGGACAGGACACCATCCTGTATCACCCAGTTCTAGGCTCCTGCAAGGTGACTGCAATATCTTACAAGCATGCTGCCATGTCCATCATCCTGCTTGTAGATTCCACACCTCACTGCCCACTTCAGAAGCTCATCTCGACAAATTTATCAACTGATGTGTACAAACCTCAAAAATTGGAAGCTGCAAGCTTAGTAAGTTGTTCAAGAGATTTACCAAGAGATCAGCACGGTGTAGTTGGCCCAATAACTTGCCTCAGTAACAACGCAAGCCAGTGGTATTTGATACATCCTTATGCATATTGTCTGTTCTTCAGCCAGACTGCAAAGTTGTTAGTAATGGCATCCAGGCACCCTCAACTTTTAAGGAAACAGAAAATGGAGTAATCGGTGTTGATGAGTTGGTATTCACTTGGTACTCCAGTGACATAACCAGAGATTGTCAAAAATGTGAAAATGAAGGCAAACACTGTGGTTTCAGCTCACAAAGGGGCCGAGCATTCTGCAATTATGGTATTTTCTCTTTCTGAAGCAGAAATCTTACATCAATATTATGACTTGCTTTGCCTTGGTAGGAAACTCTATGGTCTTTACCTTTTCATTCTCTTAGTTTAAAGTTTGCCAATTAAATTGTTCAAAAGATTTCCATAGTTGAATTAGTTGTAAACACTGCAGATCAGAGCAGCTGCTAGCCAATGGAAGCATACCAAAGCTCTAGGTTCACATGCATGGTTATTCTAATTTAAAACGCGCGCACACAAGAGAAGGTTATAACCGATTAAGAGTAACGGAATTTTTTTGAAATTCTTAAAATTAAAAAAAAAACCATTCATCTACAAGGTAACCTAGATCAAAATGAATTTTTCTTTAGGATTGGAGCATAGGCATCCCTTGGTAACTAGAGAGGGTGCTATGAATGAACACACTCTCCAAAATACCATTGTTAGTATCAACGTATAGTTTATTTGATTGTAACCATTTGGACTGGACCGCCTATACATGTTCCAAGTTAAAGAAAAAAAAAGAAAGAAGAAAACATAATTTACTTAGCAACAACTGCTAAGCCTCACGTTGGTTCCATGTATTCCAGCCATAGAAACCACACCCACATTCCTTAATGTCAATACTATACTCTCTACTCTAGCTTATCACTAGAACCAAGGATGGACATGCTCTCAGATTTGATGTGGTGTTCTGGTTATCTTTAATTTCTCACTTTTTCACAATAAGCATGACCTGAACTTTGGCTTGTCAGCACCTTCTTGGATACATATTCTTGAAAAAAACACCATACTGGGTACTTGCAAAAGGAAAAAAGAAGAAAAAGTGAACTCCATGTAGGGTCATATTGATATTTTAATTCTGAACTCTTGCATACCTATGTTAGATACACAGAAAGCAACAGGATCTTCAGCATGAACATGTTTGCACGAGTTCTAGGTCACTGGTGATCCATCATGAAACACAGCTTGGTGCCCAAAGAAACCAGCATCCCATCTGTCTATTGATAATATATATTTTTTTAGAGTAAATTTCACTTAGAGCCATCTTTTATTACTGATATTTCGCTTTGGCCCTTTAATCAATGTTCTCACTTTCGACCAGTTCTTTGTTTTTAACCTTTGTGGCACTTTGGACCACCCTCAACTATTTTATCCATCTACATCCAACTTATCATATGCCAAATAAATGGTCTTTCATATAGCTGAGAGAGTTAATTGACGAGTACAAGCCGACATACTCGAGATCGTTCATATGCTTGAGAAGAGAGTTGTGATGGTCCAAAATGAAGCGAAGGTAAGATTACCCGGAATGCATGAACCTAACAGGAATGCATATCTATTTTCCAGACAAGTTAGGATCCTTATTGGAAAAGGAATAATTTTTGAGGAGTTTATACATATATAGCCCTTTGTTCCATGTTGTCCTTCACCTGTTATGCTTCCTAGTGATAGATCAGAGATGCCCTCTCTCAGTGACATGTTGCGCTAGAATATATATATGGGCGCTGGTTGTCACATGGCAGGATGCTTCTCATTCCTTCTTTGGCCCATCTCCTCCTATACATGCGCAGGCATGATGCATGCATACGGTTGCATGCACAAACCAGTTAAGATCAGAGAATCCCAGCAGTGTAGTACATGCATACTTGCGACGTCATATGCTATATACCTATACTCCACTCGGTGCTAGCTAGGTTGAATTGAGATCGATCGATCAGATATGGGGATAAAAACTGATAGAGCTAAGCTAGGGCCTGGATGCAGAGAGATGCAGCCATGGCCTTCTGTTTTGTTTTGTTCTCAAGTGAGATACGACGAACCTGCATGCTACACCATAAACAGGTTCATCCCTGCTGTAGAGACCAAGTGTATGAACAAATAGAGCATGACGAAACTACAATACAGCGAAAAAGGAAAACGTAACTGAAATTTGTTATGTGTGATTGTCACGTACCAGAAATGACCCTTAAAATCCAGAAAGTTTGTGGCACTAACATCAGGAGCACAACAAAAGGGTGTGGAAGTTGAGTTGCATGACGGCCGCATATCGAGAAGTAAGAATCGATATTAGTAAAAATGACAAAGATCCTATATGCTGTCGGTTCTCCACTACTGTCGCTGCAATACCACGATGTCATGCATGAGCCATGGTACGGCAAAGCAAATTTCCAAGATAATGTTATTTGGCATTGGTAAACTTCACTATCAAGAATGTACAGGGAAGACTGGCCAAAGTGTTCAGTTTTAAGGGATTCTTTTTAGAAATAATACTTTTTTATTAGAGTCGCAATAATAGAGGTTGACAGACAAAAATTGCAAGTATAACACCCTATCGAGCAATCGAACTGTGGTTGTTCGACGGATAAAAAATAAAAACTAAGAGAGAAAAATCACTGTGCGCCACTGTAGCATGCAGGACCTATCAAACATCCCCAGTTCGATAGGCCACCCTGCCATGCTCTTCCATGTATTTTTTTTAAGTGGACCAACAACCCTGTCGAACAACCTGTCGAACTGTGGTTGTTCGACAGGGTATAAAACTTGCGATTTTAGCCAATCAATTTATATTTTTGCAATTTTTTATTAAACCACCGGGCAGCGGCACAGTTCGATTGAATCTTCATTGATTTCAATTGAATCTTCAGTTACAACATTAAGCTATTCCAGTGAGTATGGGCGCTCTGGATCCTTTATATCTCTAATATGATGTAAGAAGGTTAAGGAGTGCAAACAAAAGAAAAATTTTGAGGGCAGCAGAACTCCAGATAGAGGTAAGTATAACAGGAAAGAAAAGGTACACAGCATGTAGATAAGTTAACGAAGAAAGCACATCAAATATTTCTAGCTGGTCAATAGCCTCTGCCGCATTTTCATCTGTGGTTTCTGGTGCCTGCCGAGCACGCCTCTCTTTTTTCTCATAAACTACAGGATTAGCATTTATTAATCCCACAACCATTTTTCTGATGCAATGCACTAATTTATATCAGAATGGCGAAATTCCTGCAAGTTGAAAACATGGAAATTATACCAATATCAGTCTTGAATAATTTTGTTAATCACTATAAACGTTCAATGGAGATATTCCCCGCCCAATCTATCACTAGTAGTCTACTAGTAATATTATTGTGGACTGTTAATAATCAAGACTAAATTGCGTTCGTTAAACTATGAAATGTAATTTGATCCCTCAACACCCCGATGAAAGAACAGATTGCTAAACAGAAATGCAAAATAGAGGTGTGATAAGAAATTTGCTAAAGGATATTTAGCAGGCTAAACTCTGAAGCGGTCGCGGGCCATATGGTTAATCACTAAAGACTGCAAGGACTGATGTAACATGGGGCATGGGGGGGTTCAGCTGAACCCCAATTTCTTTCGGAAACAAATTGCTTAGTATAATTAGGTTAAGGCAAAGGCAAGGAGTACCGTATTGCAAGAGAAGCTAAGCGCATCTGTAGTATCGCCCCAAATTAAACAGAACCCGCAGCGATAGTAAGGAGTATAGCAACCGTACGTCGCGCAGGAGGCGGCGCAAGGCAGAGGCCACCGGAGAGCAGGCGTCGTCGTCGCGCGAGGCGAAGACCACCGGGGAGAAGGGGCCGCCGCCAGCGGAGGAGGCGGCCTGGGATTTGGGGGCCGAACGAACGAACGAACGAACGGGGCCACCGGAGGAGGAGACTAAATCGAACCAAACCATGCACCGGAGAGGATGCGGCAGGACGCCGGGAGACGCTGCTCGCGGGGTGGAGATCGGCGCCGCCGGCCGGCAAGCCCGCGAGTTGATGGCGACGGGGAGATCGGCTAGGGCAGGGCAGGAAGGGGGAGATGAGAAAACGCACCCCTCCAACTCCAACCACAGGAAACGGGCAGGAAGGGGGAGCTCGGAACTCGGAACTCGGAAGAGAAGAAAAGCTCACCGGCGGCGGGCGGCGGGCGGCGTAGGCGGCCGTACACCACCGCGGGGGCGTTTGAGCCCATCTAGTGGTGCTGGTGGTGTTCCATTCTGACTTCGCTTGTAACATCTGGGCCGGGCTGTGAATCCTCCTCCGTCATGGGCCGACATGCCAGAGTCCAACATGAATCACCCCCGAACCCCTTTCCTTCCTTGGGTATTTCATTTACTGGCCGTTCGATGCGATCTAGATTGCGCGGATTAAGGGTCGGTGTTTAAAACTCCTAACCCCTTTTTTAGGTTGTGAGCGCGTTAGATTGAGCGGATAATAAATAAGCCATTCGTCGCAAAACGCAAAGTGAGCCGAGCGCTAATCATGCTATGCTTGCTTAGATCTAGGGATGTAGCTATATTTATGGCGCCATATTTTTTATAAAAAATAGTCGGTATATATTTACATTGTAAGTATCTAAATTACATATGTAATTTTAGTGTATTTACAATGTAAGTCTCAAAATTACATATGTAAGTACTAAAATTACATATGTAAATTCGAAAATTACATACTAATTATATATGTAAGTGGGGTGTAAATAAGATATAACTACTGTGTAAGTGGCTAAAAAAATCAACTGTAGCATATAGCGCCATATTTCTAGCAACTCCGTAGATGTAGATCTAGTGCCATCAGATCATTAAATCACCAACGGATTAATGGCCATGTCGTAATTTCCTCCCTATCACCAACAGTCAAATGTAGTATTCATTGGTCAGGTCGGATGCGATTTTATATGCAGTACGTTGCACTGTCTTCTTTTCTTGTGCCCCTGTCTAAATAAAAATGAAATCCTGAAACCCCCTTTTTCATTAGGCATAAGAAAATTACAAATAACTAAAAGAGTGACGGATTAAATTCTGAAATGGCGACGAACACACAGTGAAAAATGCCGTCGCCAAACTTCTTCTCATCGGCAATACCGTTTTGAGTCAACTACAATATTATGGACCCCAAAGCAGGGCACGGCTGCAGATACGTTCAAATTTTCAGATGTTGGGCGGAGGTCTTTCAGTTCTGATCTTGCCCGAGTACCCGCGTTACGACTCCAACAGCGATTGTGCTTCCACCAGACCTTAAGAATGCCCTGCCAAGAGCTCGGCATTTGGAGAATTCTTCAACACAGACCGGAGCGTCTAAGGTAACCTGACAAATATCAAGAAAATCACAACATCGCAAATGATGACTTCGGAAGCAATGGCTCCTCACAAGGATCTGTGATCAGTTGTTACCTGCACAACTGCATTCTGCTTTGACTTAAGAAATCGAGGTGCAGTTTTGCTTGGTTTGCCAGCCTTGTCAAGCAATGCCACGATTTTCGTAACCCTCGCAGCCTCCTTCACATGATGTATGTGAAACTCGACCTAGGCCCATATTTTTATCAGATTGCATCAGGGAAGAAAATAATCAAAAGGAGAGCTTTTGGTCATATCTTTACCTGATAGCCAATAAGGATAGGAATGGTGACGTCCAACACTAGAACCCTTAGCTCCAAGAAGTTAGAGACAGGCACTGGGAAACCAGGGTTGCAAAGAATCCCACCTGCTATTAGCTTACTCCCATCGATGCCCTGTAAACTAACCGCTACATTATCACCAGCTCTTGCTATGTCACATGAATTTGAATCCCGCTCGATGGATTTCACTGTCGCCACTTCCCCACAAGGTGAAATTAAAACCTGCAACAGCAAGTTCCAAGCTGTCAAAACAGATAGGAATGTCAAGACATTTGCGTACAAAAGCAAGTATAAATATATATATTTTTTAAAAAGACCAAATTCCGACATCATGCTGTTACTGAAAGATTGGCATGCAAATATGCAACTAGCAAATGTCACAATGTAAACGCTCTTGATCAATCTTTCCTCTATCCTCATATTTGGAGCTCATCTCAATGAAATATACAAGTATCAATAGTCCCTGCTGATTTGTGAGGAATGTACCTTTGAACCAATTCGAATAGCTCCAGTCTCTAATTTTCCAAATGCTGCCAACTGCCCTGTTGACTGAGACTTGATAACATCACAGATAGGAAGAATGAGGGGCTTTGAAACATCCCGAGATGGAAGCTGCAAGGAATCTATAGCATCCAAGAGACAAAATCCTTGATACCTGAAAGGACATCAGTTCAAGATTCCTATTCTTCAGATAAACAAATGATTTTTTTTCTAATAAGACAGTATGGTCCCAAATATTTCAAAATATCAGTAATGCTATTCTCACGAGTGCTTACTACAATATGTCGATATTACCATGTGAAAAGGTTAGAAATTGCAAGATGCATGAAACAGCCATCTCTGTTGAAAAATTCTACACAATGTAGTGTTTCGAATGGCATGGAAGTAGTGTGTCAAAACATAACTTACCAGGAAGTTAAACGGACATCAGAAGGAATTTTGATCAAATTCTGATTTTCAACAGCACTAAGAGGAATCCAGGTAACAGATGAATCTTTGAAGTTGCATGCCCGCAGAAAACTACCAAGTTGAACCTTGATGAACTCGAATCTTTCTTTGGAGTACCCGATGGCATCCATCTTGTTGACCGCAACAATAAGCTGTTCAACGCCGAAGCTTCTAATAAGCTGAGCATGTTCTTTTGTCTGGCCAACACTTTTCCCTCCTTCACCGTCCATGCCAGCTTCAAATGAACCAGTGCAAGCATCAACAACAAGAATAGCTGCATCAGCTTGCGTTGCGCCAGATATCATATTTGGTACAAAATCTTTATGGCCTGGAGAGTCAAGCAAAACTACACGGTACTTATTGGTCTCCAAATAAGCCACAGCCACAGTCATTGTCACACCTCTTTCTCTTTCTTCACTGCTTTCATCCATAGCCCACGCATAAGCAAATGATCCTTTTCCCTGGTAAAAAATAATTTCCATAATACAAGAATATGAATGGAACATCAGGATCAAGTATAGTACAATAACAACAATAATAAACTTACTTTTTCTTTAGCCTCCTTCTCATTCTTGTGCATATCTTTTTTCGATATCCTTCCTAACAGATGTAGCAGTCTCCCAGAGAGTGTTGACTTGCCAGAATCAACATGACCTACCTAAACAAATTGTTCGTAGACAGTAACCTATTTAGACAAAGCACTTTTAGAATAACAAAATTGTTACGGAACATATGCCATATTCAGAACAGAAGATGAGTATAGCATACTATTGCAAGGTTTAGTTGGCTCAGCACTCCTGATTCCTCATTAGCAAACATCCACTTCTCAGGCTTATATTCTTCAGGTAAATAAGGTTTTGCAGTATCTACTTCATTCTTTTCTAAACCTAGCTTCTGTATGTCAGAAGAAAGTTTCTGGGCCACATCCTCATTCTGTGCAGAACTGGTAGCCCTACTACTCTGGTCCTCCTTCAGCTGAAAATGATCAGAAATCAATTGAGCTGTCCTCTCGACAGGCACATCTTCAGGAAGTGCAATGTGTTTCACCTTTTTCCCAGCGCCTGATGAGCTACCAACAGATGCGTACTGTGTGGAACCAACTGTTGAATAATAAAATAATTTAAATTAAGGTGACAATAAAAGAACAAAGCTAACAGGCTTTTTTTTCAACAGGAAGGCTTATCAACCAACAGATGATACAACTGGTTGGGAAGATCTGCAAATCAAGTACAAATAAGTCACCCTTACAAAAGTAGCTTGGTTCAGACTTCAGAGGGCATGACACGTGAGCTGTGGGTTGTTGTTGTCCAACAAGTGAAACATTTTTTAGTGGTATGCAAGGGAACAATCTGTTCAGCCACAGTAAGTGACAATGGTGCTTGGGAAAGAAAAGGATCAAAATCTGCTTCCCGCACATAAGATGAGCTAATGTGATTCTTTTATATGGTGAATTATGAATTATCCTTTTCATAACTCAATAAGGTGTTATGGTAGGAGAAGCTAGTTTAAAGGTAGAACAGAGTTGCATACACAAAATTGTACAGCATCTACCATTTGCACCAGCAGTACCTTTCTCATGAGATATGCTAGCATTCTTTATCTCAGGGTCACCACCAAAGTCTGTAGTACGAGTATTCACTGGCATCTTTGTAGAATCAGATTTCGGCATCGAAGGTGTCCCAAAATCACTTGGTATCCCATGGACTGTAATTTAATAGTTATAGTACACTATGATTACATTAGAATTCCTTGTCAGAATACAAATTGTGATTCAAAGAGAATTAGAATGGGTGAAGGATGTTACCTTTTATTGAACCATCCTTGGCAGATTTCATAAAGGATTCTCGAAAAACCCCACACATCTCACAATACACCATGCTTTCATGATTATCGAACATGCACATGGAGCATCTCCAAAGCACAGGCACCATACTTGAGGACTTCTTCGATGACTCTGCACAATAGAGTGGTGACATAACATTAGAGATCAAGGAGCTGCACTACACGCAGTTAGCTTGATATGCTGAGTAAGTCACAAAAAAACTTCACTGTACAACAACAAAGCAAAGCATTCGATGCGTGGAGCTTATGCGGAAAGCAACGGTTAAATGTATAAGCATATGAATTATTTCAAAATGTGTCAAATATATAAAACAATAATATGCATATGCACCAGGATTCAGCAAGCAACCAGTAGGTAATACTGGTAGTTCTAACTGGCAGCCAGCTATGTTTCGATTCTCACCCAATTTGGGTAGATTTAATTTGTAGTAAGTTTTTATTTTGATGGACTGGATGAATGATATTTGACTCATTCCAAAAAATGCATGTTGAATAACAATGCCTTCAAGAAAACAAATATCTGAAGTGCATATGATGGGATAAATGGGCAAGGAAATTATCACAAGACCAGGTAATCGGCAAACATAAGCTACACGATCACTGCATTTGTTTGAACAAGCAATGCTATTGGAAGTTTTAGAGTAATTAAGCACTAGAAATTCTTATTTGCATAATCAGGCAATAGAGGATGCGATAGCAAGTACGAATGCAGGATGGAAACAATGTAATGACATTAACAACATTTAACACCACTGAGCAAATTATGATAACGGGTGAAGGCTCCTAGTAACCTACACCGCCGTGACTAACCTACACGAGTAGATATGTTAGGTGTGCATCATGAAGCGACTCCAATAGCTATTTCACCATTCTTACATGCTGAGGTGTACACTGTCTAGTACTAGCTTCAAACCTTTGACATAATACCTTTCTCCTTCGTAGGGTGCTGAATGTCGTCACTGTGCCCAGTCCCACCGTAATCATCATAGTCTTCATCATACTCATCATAGTCATCATTGTACTCATCATCGTAGTCAGGCCCAGAGACAACCTTGCGCGGCATCCTGCTGACACAGGGCAGACCTAATGGGGGAAAAAATAGTGTTATTTGTAAAGAGAAAACCTAGCTTCCAGATCTACAAGAGAAGATAAGTTTGAGGCAAATTCGAGATCTGGAAGCTGGTTTTCTCTTTACAAATAACACTAACCCTACCATCAAATCAAGAAAGGAGGCTTTGAACAAATAGCTTGATTGAAGTATGAAGTGGCTCGGTGGGCGACGATGACGGGCGAGCTCCGGCGAGGGCCTGGGGGCCTGAGCGACGATGACGGGCGAGCTCCGGCAGCGGCGAGCTCTGGTGGTCGCGCGCTGGGGCCTGGGGGACGCCGACGGGCCGGCGCTGGTGGGAGGCGGCGACGGAGGCTGGCGGAGGAGGGACGGCGGACGGCAGGCGGCGCTGGCGGTCGCGCGGCGAGGGACGGCAGGCCGCGCGCCCGCCGGAGGAGGAGGGACGGAGGGACGGCAGGCGGCGCTGGCGGTAGCGCGGCGAGGGCGGTGGCGGCTTAGGTCGCTGGGGGGAGGAGGACTGGAGCCGACTAGTATACCTGGCCAAATGGGCCGGGCCAAGGCGTGCCGGCCCGAGCACGGCAGCACTGTAGCCGGCCCAGGAACGGCACGGCACGCCCGCTCGTGGGCCGTGCCGGCACGACCCGTTCAGCCGTGCCGTGCTTGGCCCGACGTCTGAGCCCATGGGCCGGTACGGCACCGCACGGTTGCCATCGGGTCGGCACGTCAACGCCACATCAGCAAAACCGCCATCCAAAACCGCTGAGGGAGTCAAATTGCACTAGTTTGAATAGTTCGGGGAGTCATCCTATCCGGTTTTACGGTTGAGGGTCACGGATTAGATTCGGGTGACTTTTAAGGGAGTCAAAGTGGACTTTTTTCCTTTTATTAAATTTAACATTGAACATATTTTGATAATATGTTTATTTTATGTTGAAAATGCTAGTATATTTTTTTATAAAGTTGGTCAAACTTGGATAAAAATAAAAGCAACTTATAAGGACAAGTTCACTGTACTTCTTTGCTTGATAATACTAAGTTCATAAAACTACATATACATGGGCCTCCGCGTAATGACGCTAGCGTACACAGAAAAATACAATCATCACATATATAAGCAGCTTCAGCAGTCAGCATTTCGCAACGTGCATACTACTAGTACTAAGTTACTGGTAGCTAAAGCTCTGAAACAGGCTAATGCTTTCGTCGTCATCGTCCTCTTCAGCTTCAGAGATTGCAGTCAGATCAGATGACAGATGGTAAGGCTCTACTCCAAGGGGTTGCTCATCATCACAGAAGAATGGCTTGGGAGGAACTTGGAGATCATCGCTGCCACCTTCAAGCATCTCTATCACCTCGCTCATCGTCGGTCGATCAGATGACCTCATCTGAATGCACCGTAATCCAACAACGCAAAGCTCCTTCTCCAGCTCATGCATGTCGACAATGTCAGAGATCTCACATGTTTCTCGTCGAGTCAACTGCTTGTACACCCGGGATGGATAGTATGCCTGACTTGAGTTTGCTGCATTCGGATCTGCATTTCTTCTTCCTCCGGCCATTTCTAGTAGCAGCATCCCAAAGCTATACACATCAGATTTGCTTGATATGGTACCAAAGCTCCGAGAGATCATCTCAGGAGCTATGTAACCCACTGTTCCTCGTGCAGCGCTCACTGGGACAAAGCTCTTATCTCTTGGGTACAGCTTGGCAAGGCCAAAATCGGCAACTTTTGGGACAAAGTTATCATCAAGAAGGATGTTGTGAGGCTTGATGTCAAAGTGCAGAATCTGCATCTCGCACCCCTGATGCAGGTAGTTGATCCCTCTTGCAATGCCCAAAGCGATCTCATTCAGCTTGTCCCAGGAGAAACACTTCTCTAATGAGAAGATGTATTTATCAAGAGAGCCCCGAGGCATGTACTCATAGACGAGCGCTCTTCTCATTTCTTCCGAGCAGAATCCGACCAGACGCACTACATTGATATGGTGGATCCGACCGATGGTGGAGACCTCACTAATGAATTCATCTCCGTTGCAGTTGGAGTTACCGGACAACATCTTGATGGCAACATGTACATTGCCGGGGAGCAGTACGCCTTTATATACAGAGCCATAGCCTCCTTGTCCTAGCTTGTCTCGAAAATGGGATGTGATTGCAATGATGTCAGTGTAGGCGTACCTCATTGGACCAATCATCTGTTGCATCTGGAGAAACTTCTCTACCGCATCGATTGTGATCCTTGTTTTCCAGTACTTGTGGGCAAGGAAGATGAATACCACCAGCGGCGCCAACATTAACCTGAATAAAACTTTGCAGAAATGCCAAGAGCCCGAGAAGCAGTTTTTTTTAGATAGTGGAAGGGTACGGAACAATATAGGCTATAGCATTATAGGTGTGTATCACTCAAAAAGAATATTAGAGCTATGATGATTAAATGAAGGTAATTCAAGCGTACCAAAATAGAGCTTGATGATAACGATGGCAGATACTATGATAACCATAAGTGTCATAAACTTTGTAGAGCTTGATGATAACGATGGCAGATACTATGATAACCATAAGTGTCATAAACTTTGTTGTGTAGGCGTGACCAGCAACTCTGCAGCGTGTGAAATACAGTTCGCTCCAGAAAATAGCACGGGCTATATTCGGAATGCTTGCGCCGGTTATATGCTCGTTGAAGTACCTGCAGATCACACCATTTTACAGGATGGGTTAAGCGAAGGAAACGCGTCTTTCTCCATAGACACTACAGAATTTATGAGGGAAACAAAAAAAACAGCTCACACGAGGGTCGAGAGTATTCATGCCATACGTATTTGAGAGCAGACTGACCTTACTGAATTGTTGAGGCATTCCTTGGTGCTGATATGATGATTGAGGTGGTGTTTGGATCCAGGGACTTAACTTTAGTCCCTGTTTTTAGACACTAATTTAGAGTATTAAATATAGACTACTTACAAAACTAATTATATAAATGAAAGCTAATTCACGAGACAAATTTTTTAAGCCTAATTAATCCACAATTAGAGAATGTTTACTGTAGCATCACATAGGCTAATCATGGATTAGTTAGGCTCAATAGATTCGTCTCGCGAATTAGTCCAAGATTATGGATGAGTTTTATTAATAGTCTACGTTTAATATTTATAATTAATATTCAAACATCCGATGTGATAGAGACTTAAAAGTTTTAGTCCCATCTAAACAGGGCCTGAGGGAACTATGATCCATTGGGAATCGAACACGAAACCCCTTCCCTATGAATCCAATGATATCAGTATAACTTGCATTTTGTAGCTGTGAGACTGATATATGTTGAGTATCAAAGGGAATCATGGACAAGTATCGACAAGAAGGTTGAAGCTCTCCAATTGTACAGCCATAAAACTCGTTGAGATAAACAAAAGAATTGTTGGTAGGCAGGCAAGAGACGGGCCTGTACCATGGACTAGTAGTATCTTGTATTGGTCTGGAACAATTCACAAAGCATGCCCAAGCACTGTCTGAAGAAGTAGCCAAATCGAGAAAGCCATAAGAATCAGTTGTAGTACGGTCCAACAGATCGTCAGTACTGTAAGGAGGGTGATCGGATGGAGGAAGAGGGCAGCTGCTATCATCATCCTGCATGGTGGCGTCGGTGACCAAGAAGGACAGATCGGTGTAGTTGATGCTACTCACGTAGTATGTTCTTGTGTTGATCTGAATGGTGGCCTTGCCAGTGTTGCTGCAGGACAGGTCATACCATGGACGGGGAGCAGCAACGCAATCGCGCGAATCGCCTTGAAGACGGAAAGGGTAGGATATGTTGTGAAGATCACCACAGGAGGAAGGAGGACAGTAGTGGTTGTTGCTTTGCCCTCCTCCAACATCTGCTGCAACAAGCAAAGAAGAAGAGATCACTAGAGCTGTCTGCAAGGTGTAGGTAATACTACTGCTACTAATGGAGCTCGCCATGGCTGCAGGGGCCTGCAGGCTGCAGCTTCAAGACCTGGATGAATGACTTATGACTTATGACCGCGAGTGGACGAACTGCAGCAGTAGTACTAGTCAAAGTTGGACGGCCACACCAGTCGTCCAGGCACAGATGAGACACGCTCCTACACGAATTATTGGGATATTATATTTGCGTTAATGGCTCTTCTTCGCCTCCATGGGTCAGACAGACAGAAACGAATAGTCCAGTCAAGATGAGCTCTGAGCTTGCTCTTGTTGCAGGACCCTGCTTGCTGCTGCTGTCGTCTCTGCTTCTGCAGCTGCAGGCCACGGCATGGGAAGACAAGGATTTCTCAGCTACTGCCCGCCGTCGCGGTGCAGCGAGCATGGCCCCGAGATCAGGTTCCCTTTCCAACTTGAATCCAACAATACTACACCATCCTCATGTAGCGTACCATGCATGAAGCTAGCATGCTCCGGCCAAGACACCATCTTAGATAGCAGATACTCGTACCTTGGAAGCCCATACAAGGTGACCGCCATAGATTACAAGCATACTACCCTCACCATCATCCCTATCGGAGACTTGGATTCATGTCCGCTTCTAAATTCTGTACCACTTCCTTCTCAGCCACTCCATTATCATTATCACGGTGCAAACTGGAGCTCTTGCGACATATACAATTGGGGTTCTGCAGCCCTAGTAAGCTGTTCTCAAGAGTTGACACAAACTGATATCCCTTCCACTCATATTGCTGGCCCAATCTCTTGCCTGTCCACCAACTCAACTCACTTCTCCTATTTGGTGGCTTATGATGTGCCTACGTGTCTTATTCCAATCCAGTGCGAGGTCATCTCAGATGGCCCCATTCCGATACCATATTTTTACTCTGGCCATGCCTCGCTCACCTTCAGGCAAAGTGCAGAAAGAATCCTCAATTTTGCTGACACGACGGTCTATTGGAGATCCTTCGCAAACCCAGCCGCTTACAATTGCTCACAGTGTGAACAACAAGGCCGACGCTGCGCATACAGCTCACAAAGAAATCAAACATTCTGCATGCGTCGAGGTATTTTTTTCAAACCCGGTAAATCCCTTTACAGCAGGCACCGTCTTTTTCCTGCAAGTTTTACAATTTTCAGTTTACAATCCACTCATATGAATGCTAACTAGTAGTATCTGATTGTCAATAGCCAGCAAAACACACATGAGCGTCACATACACTTCATCTTAATTCCAAACGTGGTTGCTCAAAATGTAGAGGCTAAATAAAAAGCTTTACCAACCTCATCGTAAGATCACTGGCATGGCGGCATTCACTTCTGGGAGCCCATCATCGAGTTACAACTTACAACAAGATTTATGGCTGCCATCCTTCTTGTACTGGAGGTGCAATATATAGTAGTGTCAAGGGCGTCAAGGCCCCTGGTAGCTGGACCGCGGCTACGTAATTCGTAGCCGGAATCCGTCTTCTCCGGCGAGGTTTTACCCCTCAGCCGTAGGTTCAGGTTTGGGAGAGAGAAGAGGAGATTAGGTGAGTGATTCTTGATTTTTTCTCCACAGTGCCGAATACAAGACTCAAAAATAGTCCACAGACTGAATCGAACATGCCTACAATTAAGGAAGAAACAAGGAAACTAATCCCTTCTTTCTAATCTTAGCCACTCCCGGTGGCTTCCTCAGCTGTGCGCTGGGCGCGCTCTGTAGCGCGGCGCACGTCACGCGCGCGACGGCGTCTCGCGTACGTGCGGCCCCACATGACATCTCCCCCCTCATCGAGAGCCAGCTCGTCCCCGAGCTGGAAGTCGGGGTACTTGGCGATGAAAGCGTCGGCGTCTTCCCACGTCGCCGAAGCTGGGGACTCTCCCTTCCATTGGATCAGCAGCTGGCGCACACCACGTGCGAGGCGCGTCTTGACGGCTCGTTCCGGCTCCGGGACCACGGCACCATGGTGAACAGCAGGCAGGGGCGGTGGAGCATCCGGCGGGGAGCCATGGAACTTCTTGAGGAGGCCGATGTGGAAAACGTCGTGCAGACGAGCTCGGGGTGGCAGAGCGAGGCGAACCGCGACGTCGTTGATGAGCTCGGTGATGCGGTAGGGCCCGTAGAAGCGGGGCCTCAGCTTGCCGGCGACGGTCTGTGGCAGTGAAGATGCCGCGCGCTGCCTGAGGCGTAGTAGGGCCCAGTCACCCACCTGGTACGTGACATGGCGATGTGCCTTGTCATAGTGGCGCTTCTGGGTCGCCTGTGCTTGTTCAAGGCGGCTGCGAATGTCAGCGAGGAACTTATCCCGCTCTTCCATGGTCTTGGCGACGGCGGCCACCCTGGTGTCTCCGGGCTCATATGACCGGATGGATGGGGGATCGCGGCCGTAGACGACGCGGAACGGTGTGTCCCGCAGTGACGTTTGGTAGGCGGTGTTGAAGACGTACTCCGCCCACGGAAGCCACTGGAGCCACTGCCGCGGTCGATCACCAGTGAGGCACCGCAGGTACATGACAATGACGCGGTTGGCGGACTCTGACTGCCCATCTGACTGTGGGTGAAAGGCCGTCGTCATGTGCAACTTGGTACCCACCAACCACATCAGCTCGCGCCAGAAGTGGGAGGTGAAAACCGTGTCCCGGTCCGACACGATGGACTGTGGCATGCCATGGAGGCGAACGATGTCGGCGAAGAAGGCCTGGGCGACGGTCTCCGCGGAGTACGGGTGAGACAGGGGGATGAAGTGGCAGTACTTGCTGAACCTGTCCACCACCGTCAGAATGACTGACTTGCCCCGGACGCGTGGTAGCGCCTCGACGAAGTCTAGGGCGATGTCCGTCCAGACTCCTTGTGGCACGGGCAGCGGTAGAAGAAGGCCAGCCGGATGTAGATGCTCCGACTTGTAGCGCTGGCACGTAGGGCATGCCCGCACCAAATCCTGCACGAGCTGTTTCATGTTAGGAAAATGAAAATCACGCCGCAGCCGGTGCAGCGTGCGCTGGACGCCTTCGTGTCCTTCCTCGTGGACAGCCGCCATGAGCTCCGGCAGCAGAGGCGAGGCCGGGGGAATGTACAGCCGCCCGCTGTACTGGATCATCCCGTCCACGGCCGCCCACGGCAGAGCTTGGGAGCCCGAGGTGAGCTCTTCATGCATGGCGACGAGGGCCGGGTCAGTGGTTTGCGCGTGGCGGAGCCTGTCGACGAAGTCAAAGCGTGGGGCCGAGAGCGCCAAGATGGTGCCATCCTCCGGTGTGTCCCGGCGCGACAGCGCGTCCGCTACGGCATTGGCATGTCCCGGCTTGTACTCGACGGTGAAGTCGAACCCGAGAAGCTTCCCCACCCAGTGATGCTGAGGAATCGTCGCGAGCCTCTGATCGAGCAGGTACTTGAGGCTGTAGTGGTCGGTCTTGACGACGAAGCGGCGCCCCCACAAGTACGGCCGCCAGTGACGTACAGCGTGCACGAAGCCGATCAGCTCACGCTCGTATGCTGCGAGCGCGCGATGGCGGGGTGCCACCGGCCTACTGAAGAAGGCAACAGGGTGGCTGTCCTGGACGAGCACCGCTCCGAAGCCATGAGACGAAGCGTCGCATTCGACGATGAAGGGCTTGGAGAAGTCCGGCATGGCGAGCACCGGGGCGGTGGTGACTGCTGCCTTGAGCGCGTCGAACGCCGTTGCGGCCTCCCCTGACCAGGAGAAACTATCTTTCTTGAGGAGGGCGGTGAGGGGCGCGGCGATGGCGCCGTAGTTGTGCACAAACTTGCGGTAGTAGCCCGCCAAGCCGAGGAAGCTGCGGACTGCGCGCGCCGAGCGTGGCGCCGGCCAATCCCGCACAGCCTGCACCTTGGCCGGGTCCATGGCGACGCCCGCCTCAGAGATGACGTGGCCGAGGTACGCGACGGACGCGCTGGCGAAGGCGCACTTGGCGCGCTTGAGGAAGAGCTGGTGCCGCTGAAGCTCGCTGAGGACGGCGCGGATGTGGCGCAGATGATCCGCCCAGGTCTTGCTGTAAATTAGTATATCATCAAAAAACACAAGAACGAAACGGCGAAGGAACGGCCGAAGTACGTCGTTCATCAGAGCCTGGAACGTCACCGGGGCATTGCACAGCCCGAACGGCATGACGAGGAACTCGTAGAGGCCGTCGTGGGTATGGAACGCGGTCTTGTGAACGTCGGCCGGCCGCATCCGCACCTGGTGGTACCCGGAGCGGAGATCTAGCTTGGTGAAGAAGCGCGCCCCGTGGAGCTCATCGAGCAGCTCGTCGATGACGGGGATCGGAAACGCATCCTTGACCGTGAGCGCGTTGAGGGCGCGGTAGTCGACGCAAAAGCGCCACGATCCGTCCGGCTTCTTGACGAGGAGGACCGGGGACGAGAACGCGGAGTCGCTGCGGCGGACAATGCCTTGCTCGATTATGGCGGCACATTGCAGCTCCAATTCATCCTTGTGAGCCGCCAGGTAACGATAGGGGCGGACGGCCACTGGCAGCGCACCCGGCTTTAAGACGATGCTGTGGTCCCGAGCGCGCTGTGGTGGCAGACCGGATGGCTCGGCGAAGACCCCTTCGAAAGAGGCCAGCAGCCCATCGAGAAGGACCTCCGAGGCTGCTATGACGGCGACAGTCGGCTCCGGGCGCGCCGCCACGTCGGACCAGCGAACCTCCATGCCGTGGCGCGAGAACGACATGGTGCGCGCCGTGAAGTCCCATGTTATCGGCCCCAGGGTAACCATCCATTGGGTTCCCAGAACGAGATCGTATCCCGCCAACGGCATGACGAAGAGGTCCACGTGGAACTCCTCTCCATCGATGGTGATCGGCGCCTGTCGGAGCACGCCCGGGCACTGGATCTTCTCGCCATTGGCCACTGTGGCCGTGAGGCGCGGCTTGGGCTGGATGGCCAGGTTGGTGCGGCGCGCCGCCTCCTCGGCGATGAAATTGTGGGTGGAGCTGGTGTCGAGGAGGGCGGTGAGGGTGACCGCGCCCAGCATCACCCGGACTTGCATCGTGTCGCAGATCGGGACTCCTGCGACCGCCTGCAAAGAGAAGACAGGGGCCTCCCCATCTTGGTCCGCGTCCAACGCGGCGTCCTCGGCGTCGGTGAGCGTCACGCCGTCGATGTAGAAGATGCGGCGGCAGACCCGGTTATGGCCACGGGAGTACTTTTCGTCGCAATTGTAGCACAGCCCGAGGCGGCGACGTTCCGCCTGCTCCTCCTGGGAGAGGCGTTTCACCGGTTTGGCCTCCATCTTGGCCACGGGTGCGCTCGCCGGCGGTGCAGGGAGCGCGAGGCGCTGGGGCAGTGCCGGCAGCAGGCCGCGGGGCGCTGGCCGGGCGGGAACTGGAGCCGGCTTGTCGAGCTCCATCAACTCAACTTGACGGGCCAGGCTCATGGCGGCCGCGAGCGACTGCGGGTTGTGAATCCGCACAGCGTGACTCAGCGGCGGAAGGAGTCCCCCCGTGAATAGCTGGACCAGCTGGGCTTCCTGCAGTGGACCGGCGCGTGGTAGGAGCGCCTGGAAGCTGTTCTGGTACTCCTTGACGGTACCCGTGCGCCGGCACTCGGCGAGCTCGAACAGCGGCGCTGAGCGCAGGGGCGGTCCAAAGCGCAGGTGGAGGAGGTCCTTGAAGCGATTCCATCTGGGAGTACCCTCGTCCTCCTGGAGTTGGATATACCACAATTGGGCCACGTCCTCCAGGTTGTATGAAGCCATCCATACTTTCTCCTCCTCCATGATGCGTTGTTGATGGAAATAAGATTCACATCTGTTGACGAAGATCAGGGGATCGGTCGTGCCATCATAGCGGGGAAAGTCCATCTTCTGGAACTGTTGGCAACTTTTTTGACAAGTTGACAAGCACGATCGCAGCACCTTAAGCTTTGCGGTGATCCTAGAGTCGCCAACCACCTCGATCTAGCAAAGAGCTAAACCTAGATGGGTTTTGATAACTAAACCGGCTAATGGAGCCGATTTCTAGATAACTACCCGTCTCGTGGGCAAGACGGAAGGTTTTCAGGACAAACCTACAAAGAGATGTTGCACTCTCGCAGCGGCGGCGGACGGTTTACGGCGCAAACCGA